GGAAGCATTCGCTTACACTCAGTAAGTTAAAGTTAGCTCATGTTTGCTTTTAATCCTCTGCATATAACAAAACARAACAAAAACTTTGCTTTAATATCATCCTTTTTACCCCCTTGAACGATGCTGTTATTCTTATTCTTCCATCATCATCCTCAGRTCCTCTGGTTCCTCAGACACACACCTGTTACTCATTTACAGATCCAGTTTTATCCTGGAGATTTGTGTTTGGTGCTGCCAAACTGGTTTTTTTTTTTTTTAAGTTTTAACTTAATCTTCTAAAACCCTTGGGATTTTCCACCTGCCTGCGACTTGTCTGGACTTCATTTTGCCAAGCATGACTTTGATTAAAAATGTCAGGGAGCTGTTAGCTCTTTGCTGCCGTTATAAACAACGTGTTAAAAGGGTGACGTCAAAAAGAAAAGGGGGGAAAAAAACTGAATGATTAAAACAAAGTTATTCAGACGAATCTTCTGAGAAACATGTTTCAGTCGAGGGGCTGCTGTAAGAATGTGTGAGACCCTGAACACCCACATGAAGAATATGAGCAGATATATGCAGTGAAATGCACACTGTTTGCCTGTTTACATGTGGACAATAAAAGATATGCTGTATATTTAACAAACACTCCATCGTATAAAACTGCCACCATGATTAAAGCTGCGTCTGCTTCCTTCTRGTGGCTGTAACTTTTATCACAAACACAAACACTGCTGGTTTTATACCTGAACAACAAAACTTGATTATAAATCCAAATATTACAATTCAAACATATGAAGCTCTAATAAAACAGTTTTCATTCATTTTTTCTTTGTGTTTGGGCATACATGCCCTCCTGCACATGTACTATACCTTAGGTACACGTCATTAAGTATATGTAAGTATAGTAAAATATATTTCCCCGATGTACTTTTATCTACCAAGTACACTTTTAGTATATTTTCAGTACAAACCAAGTAAAGGTAACATTCACTTTGTTGAGTATATTTCTGATAAGTACATAAAAAGTAAACCGAGAGTAAATGAAATTAAAATGAGTATACTTAAAGGACACTTGCATAAACTGKTTTTTGGTAAGTGGGGGTGCTGCAGCACCCGCTACACCTCTACTTCCAGCTGCCTTGTTCAGACAGTTCAGAAACAGGAGAGAATAACTCGCTTTGATGTGAGACCTTTTGAAATAATATTAAAAAAACAATTCAAGGCTGTTTTTTGACATTCCTCCTGCCAGACCCCTACCTCCTCTGAGATTCACTTTCCTCTGAGGAGGGCCCATTTTGGCGCTGAACTACTGGACCTGAAAGACACAGACAGAAAWATAAAACACACCTTCAACACCTTCAGTTGGAACTACTTTCTGAACACAGGCTGAAGCAACATAAAGGTYAAAAAAGGAGGCGACAAGGAGAAAGAGCTGTGTATCAAAATGTCATCAATCTGCGTGAGACAAACAGGTAAAGTTCTGATCAAACCAAATCCAAACTCTGACGCAAAACGGCTTAAATAAAAGCAGATTCYTGTGAGATACTGTGACTTTCGACACGTTATTAACCAGGGGAATCGCAGCAGAAAGACTGGCATCAGCTGAAAAACAGAAGCAGGAATAAATCAAAACGTGTTCAACGCTGCGAGTGTTGAATATCAGAGCGAGGAGAGGAAAAACACGTCACATGGTGCGCTCAGTTTAGTGTCAGGCAGAGCAGCGGCAATTAAACTCTCACTCTTACTATGACATCAGGGCCACACGTGCGCTGATATTTCCGTTCGCCACCTCTGGAGCCATGTGGGGGGCCGGGGGGGCCGTCACCATGAAGCAGAGCAGCTCAGTTTGGATGTCAGTGGCAACATGTCTCCTCAGAATAAAACCACCTCCATGTTTTATCTATTACTATTTTTGTCTGGAAATACAGCTTCTTAAAAAAAAAACACGTCAAAACCTCAGAGCTCAGGCTCCATCTTTCTGCAGACGTCGATTTAGACGTGAGACATTTTTCAGGGCTGAGCGTCGCTGCGTGCCGGCGTGGCCACAGGATGACACAGGCGCTTGCCATGGTGAGGGATGCTCAGGGGACGACAGGGCTTGTTCAGACACACAAGTGTTGTGCTGCAGCCCGGAAGACCAACGTGTGTGTTTGTCATTAAAGGAAAATAAACTATAACCTCTGTTTGTGTTTGATCTTTTTGAAACACACAAACTAACCATTACATGTAGAAGACGCCATAATGGAGGAAAACAAGCAGATGGACGTGATTATTTAACCATTTTTCACAGATCAGTTGTTTTTCCTCAAAGCGTTAGTTTTTACTGAGATCTGTTCCTCCACAACAACCATCAGGGCTCCAGTTCAGGATTATTCTTCCCAGAAGCTGCAGCAGAAACAAAGGTTTCCCACCAACAGCGATAATCAAATTTATTAACACATGGTCCTGGGAGGTCAGAGATCACAGCTGCCCATCAGGGCTTCATTGATGAAAGACATCCTGTCAGCAGCAGGCTGGAGTTTACTGCACACATAAAAGCACAATCTTACTAAMAAAACTCTTGTAGTAACAACTGCTTTAAAGGGCCAGTATTATGTGTTTCTCTAGCATATACAGCAGGTAAAATAAATATTGAACATGTCACCATTTTTCTCAGTAAATATATTACTAGAGGTGCTAATGACATGAAATTTTCACCAGATGT